TCCCCAGCCAATGGCAAGGTCAGTCCAGAGGAAGGGAGGGAGAGATGGAATTCCAGATGATGAGAAATAAATGGCTGGAAATTCCTACTGTACAGAACAATTCAGTGACACATCGGGGTCCGCGTGGAACTTTCCAACTGCAATGTACAGGAGGGGATTTCTCTGAATGACACCTTTACTGGAAGTGAATTCACGGGCTTTAAAAGGGAAACTACACATCGTCCATGTTACTGGTATTGTGTGTAACCTGAAAATTATTTTCATGATTTAAACATTTTTACATGATTTAAAGCTGAACTCCGACCTTCCCTTCAGTCTTGCACAGTTGTATCGGCTCCTCTACTCTACTGAAATTGCTTACTCTGATTTTACTGCACACTGTGAGCTTCTCGAAGTATGCATTAGAAACTGCAGCAAGCCATATGGAGCCTGCCTCACTCCCTGGCTGGAGGACATCCGGCATCATCTAGCTGTTTCCTCCGCAGCCTTTCTGTCCTTGATTCACCTTTTTCATTCATTGGATTTTAGTTTTAATCATGGGGGCTCGATATCACACAGGGGCACTACTTAGGGCCCCTCTGCATGCAAATGTAGTCTGCCTAGGAATGCCACTCCTCTAGACTGGCATCCACCCATCAAGGCATTTTGGTATTTGCATAACTCCTTAAAGTCAGCTCACTGCTTGCATCAGAGAAAAGAACGAATCAGAGTGTTGTGAAGTTTTTCAGGAAGCTATGCACATCATCCTGCCGGGCCCTCCCAACAGCCAAGAGCTGCCTGCATTGCAACGAGAAGCACAGAGGCCCAGTGTTGATGTCACTGGATCTAAAATAAAATATATATTAAAAAAGGTATAGTTTGAAAAAAATAAATATTAGAATGTAGGTGATGGGAAGGGAGGAAAGAACCAGGGAAGGCAAAATCCAAGAAAATTACATTTCAGCTTGTGACAGGTCACACTACTGCAACCTGAAAGTTGCACGACTTATGGTGTGACTTTGCCAGGCAACGTGATGTGACGCGAGTACTACTTTGATGCGACTTACATGCCATGTGACTTTGCCTGTGGCCAATAAGAACATCAGCTATAGGTAATCTTCCTGAATGTCCAATCCAAATCACATCAATGTAGATGATGATCTGACTTGGAGGCGACTTCCATTAACGTTTATGGGCACAAGTCTGATAGAAGAAATTGCCTTGAAGCAGTCGGAGTGACTTCAGTAGTGCTAATTAGAACAGCTCTCATTGACCAACATTGGATTTCACACGTCATGTGATTTGGGGTCTCACAAATCAGATTCCAAGTTGCAGCAGTGTGAACCGAGCCTTAGAGTGAAAGCCATATCCCATCACTTGCTCCCATGACCAACCCTCCCTATTACCCGCTCTATTTATTTGAAATATATTTAATTCACAAAAATGTAATATACTGCAGCTTAGCAGTCCTTAGATGTGACGGTTGCATTTGTTTTCTTTTTTCTGCATGCACATTTTCTGCAAATACAGAATACTACCTGCGAATCCCTCCAGTGACTTTGTAATTTTTTGTCTTCTGTTACAACACAGAACACCACCTCCCGATGGAATGAGGAAGGAAGGAGGTGTTTGTAGTTCAAATCAAAAGAGCAGCTTGGGGTGACAATTCTGCACCTCCAAAGATACAGTACAGTGAGTGAGTGTTGTCACCCTAGGACGGGACATGTGTTACCTGCAGGATAACCAGGTGAAAATAAGGGAAAATTAAAAACTAATGCAGCCACCACAACAAAGGCCTACAGGCTGAAAAAAATTATAAATACATTTGAATATGCTTTAAGGAAGAATTCCAGGTGTGGCATTTTTTACATAGTAACATCAGTTTGGATCATGTGTCAAGCCGCTGCCCTGCTGCATTCTGAACACAGGAGGTCTGCCGCACGCCACAGGCCCCATTTATAGAGCTTGTTGAATTTTCTCAATGAATGAAAAGTATTCTCTGATTGGAAGAGGTGGACAGCGTGAGATCACCAACCCACTTCTCCATCTCATCCAGTTTGAGAAGATCGGGAGCAAATCTAACCAACAATTTTCACAAATTTGATTGTCCTGGCCTTGGTTTATGTATTATAATGGTATCAGAAGGAAAGAAAGGCTCCACATAGCATCATTCTATAAACATATATAGCTGGGCGGGGCTTAATGATCTGATGTCATCGTGCACACCATATATGTAATGATTAATATTATTATGGTTCATATGATTGGATGAGATTGCATTTGTCACTTCCTTGAACTGCTTACATGCTATTTTACTTTAACCCCTTCCTGCCCATCCCCAGCATCCCTTTACCAGGATCTTTACACTCAGGGAATGGGAAGGACTGTCCAATGATGTCAACACTGTGATTAAATGTCCCCCCAACTACAGACCATGAGCTGTCTATGACAGCTTGGTCACTGTGCTGGGAGTATGCAATGAGCACACTCTTAGAACAGAAACCTTGGACACAATTTTGCGGCACATAGGCATTATATGTGTTTCGTGAGGAGCAACAGGTTAAGATGAGGAATTATTGATTGCAGCAGAAAAGGCAGGATACGTGATCTAGAATTGCTGACACTATGCTCTTGCCTGTTCGCTGTGATAATGTATTCTTCCATTATGTACAGTATGTTTTGCTTATGCTGACCATAGACGGGTCGGAATTTGGGTAGTTCAGCAAGGAATGGCCGAATTTTGATCCATGTGTGGTCATCTCTGTTTGACAAAAGTCAATCTTTTGATTGAACTCTGTGGAGGGGACACGCTGGAAAACGAAGAAAAAACTACGCATTTATAGCCAGCTTTACATTCTGCAATGTTCTCTAAATGCAGGTTATTTATTACACTTGTGAGTTGCCTTCACTCAGCAGAGCGGTATAATTGCAGAACACATTTCCCCCAATTTTATTTAGTAAGGTGACATATATAATACAGATCTGAATTATATAAATCCTGTTTATTACTAAACAACAACAAAGGCCCTAGAGAATATCAATAAATAATGACAATGAATTTGAAGAGAATTTTATGGTACACTTCATTTCGTTAGCTAAAAGAAATTTGAAATATGAAAACTGCAGTGACAGCTTAAAAAGAGATTCTCACCTCGACTGATCCTCTGCTTCTCCCCAGACAGAATCCCCGGAGTGTCAATCACACTAATACTCTCCAGAACTGGATTCGGTAACTGCGCACAGACAAACCTGCACAATAGAAAAAGGATACAGACCATGAACATTTCTAATATACAGATGGATTTATACACACTACAATAGAACCAGTGTGAAAGGAGCCTTCCATCACTAGTCTGAGCTCCTAGAGGACTCTGCTCCTTCCTCGATCTAACCCTCCTCTCCTGAAATACTCTGCACTGCTGGAGGACTCTGCTCCTTCCTCGATCTAACCCTCCTCTCCTGAAATACTCTGCACTGCTGGAGGACTCTACTCCTTCCTCGATCTTAAATCCCTCTCTTGAAATAATTTGCAATGCTGGAGGACTCTACTCCTTCCTCAATCTAACCCTCCTTCCTCGACTAACCCTCCTGAAATACTCTGCACTGCTGGATGACTCTGCTACTTCCTCAATCTAACCCTCCACTCCTGAAATACTCTGCACTGCTGGAGGACTCTGCTCCTTCTTCAATCTAACCCTCCTCTCCTGAAATACTCTGCACTGCTGGAGGACTCTACTCCTTCCTCAATCTAACCCTCCTCTCCTGAAATACTCTGCACTGCTGGAGGACTCTACTCCTTCCTCAATCTAACCCTCCACTCCTGAAATACTCTGCACTGCTGGAGGACTCTACTCCTTCTTCAATCTAACCCTCCTCTCCTGAAATACTCTGCATTGTTGGAAACTGCTCCTTCTCCTCTCCTGAAATACTCTGCACTGCTGGAAGACTCTGCTTCTTCATCTATCTAAAGCTGGCTATAGAGAAGTCAGTTTTTTTAATTCAACCAGCAGGTTGGGTGAAAAACTCTGCCCGATTCCCCCATTCACACATTCAATGTGGATGGGGGAATCTGTATCATTGTATTCTGACATCGGGGAGACTCCCCCGCCCTCAGAATACCAAGAGCAACGCTGAAGTCTACAGTGTGCAGCACTGACTGAGCAGAAATTTTCCAACAGCGCAGTTAGATAAAATTCACCTTTGAGAACATGTTCCATCCGTTTTAGGGTGGAACATGTAACATGTTCCCATCGCCGCAGCCACCACCCCCCCCCCCCTCTGACAGATAATACAGGGAGAAGTCTCCCCGTACTATCTGTCAGATTAGAAAACAGCGCGGCGTGCGGGGCTCCGCCTACACGGACGCATCATTCATGCACGGACTTCCATGAATGACCTGCAAGTCCCGGCAACCCTAGCGGCTGTGGGCTTGTAGTTTTTAATGAACTACCACAGCACTGGAAAGGGAAGGGGTGTGATACAAGCGGTGCCATCATCCCTGGAAAGTACAATTTTAAAAGAAAACTATTTATATTTATACAATCTTAAAAAAGACATATGAATTACAATACAATATAGGTGATACCGCCATATTTTGTATTGGAATTGAGATGTCTTTAAGATTGTAAAAATAAAAATCATTTTCTTTAAACTAATTGCTAGCTTACAACTTGATAAAATCTGTGCCTTTAAAGTCCCATCAATAAAAGGGCTTCTCCATTGTACCATGGTGCTGTGGAGTGCCCTGATAGTTCATTGAAGCTTCCTGTCAGAATTTCTGCTTGCTTGTACATCCCATATAGTCTTTGGACAAAAATAATAAATGCATATTTTTTTTTACCCGCAAAAAAAATGTGCATTTATTATTTTTGTCCAAAAGGTGAACGTATCCTTTAACCACCTTCCGCCCACCCTATAGTACAAAGACGGTCGCAAGGTGGTTCTCTCGTTCTGATAGGACGTCATATGACGTCCTACCATTCTCACTGCGCATGCGCGGCTCAGGGAGAGCGCTGCGCGGCGATCGCCGGTGCACTGTGTCCCTCAGACACAGCGGATCACGGAAAGAGCTGAAGATGTCGGCTCGGTCATGTGATCAGCTGTGTCCAATCACAGCTGATCTCATGTAAACAGGGAAATGCTGGTTATCTGCATTTCTCTCCTCTCGAGCTCTCACGCTGACAGCTCGAGAGGAGAGCCGGTAATCGTCTTTCCACGGAGGGGACATGTACACTGATCATCAGGGCACTGATGATCAGTGTGCCCTGATGATCAGTGTGGCCCCAGAAGTGCCACCTGTCAGTGCTCATCAGTGCCACGTGCCAGTGCCCATCAGTGCCACATCAATGCCACATATCAGTGCCTATCTGAGCTGCCTTTCAATGTCACCCATCAGTGCCAGTCAGTGCCACCTATCAATGCCAATCAGTGCCACCTATCAGTGCTACCAATCAGTGCCACCTATCAGTGCCAGTCAGTGTCGCCTATCAGTGCGAATCAGTGCAAGTCAGTGCCGCCTATCAGTGCCAGTCAGTGCCGCCTAACAGTGCCAGTCAGTGCCACCTATCAGTGCCAGTCAGTGCCACCTATCAGTGCCAGTCAGTGCCGCCTATCAGTGTCATATATCAGTGTCATGTATCAGTGCTGCTTTCAGTGCCCATCAGTGATGCCTGTCAATGCCCATCAGTGCAACCTACCAGTGCCTCCTCATCAGTGCCCACCAGTGCCACCTATCAGTGTCCATCAGTGCAGCCTATCAGTGCCCATCACTGCAGCCTCATTAGTGCACATCAGTGAAGGAGAAAAATCACTTATTTACAAAATTGTATAACAAAAACTAAGAAAAAATGTTTTTTTTTTTCAAAATTTGTTTAAGAAAAAATAAAAATCCCAGAGGTGATGAAATACCACCAAAAGAAAGCTCTATCTGTCTCAAAAAAATGATAAAAATTTCATATGGGTACAGTGTTGCATGACCGCACAATTGTCATTCAAAGTGTGACAGCGCTGAAAGCTGGAAATTGGCCTGGGCAGGAAGGGGGTATAAGTGCCCTGTAGGCTAGTGGTTAAACAGAAGTTGATTGGTAGGTGTTCATACATGGTCCCTGCTGAATCAGCCAAATTTCAGTCCATCACAGCAAACACTTTTCTCCTGCTCTGGGAATGAACCAATAGGAATGTTCTGCAATATTCTGGAATATGCACTGCTTGCTGCCCTCAACAAACCGGGGTGGTCCAAAATCACTAAATGCAAATGGAAAAACAAAAAAAGGGGGCACACCAACCTCGTGCATTATCGTTTAAAAATATTTATTGAAAGAACAAAAGGAAGTATCATACTCACATTGTACATAAAAACACAGGCATGTCACACTGAACAAGATTTTTGATCCAAACAGCATCTGAGTCCATACGATGGAACCCTGGATGACCAACTGGCTAACGCGTTTTGAGGACATAACCTCTTCAGTGGCTCTGAGGAAGAGGTTGTGTCCTCGAAACGCGTTAGCCAGTTGGTCATCCAGGGTTCCATCGTATGGACTCAGATGCTGTTTGGATCAAACATTTGTTCAGTGTGACATGCCTGTGTTTTCATGTCCATTGTGAGTATGATACTTACTTTGTTCTTTCAATAAATATTTTTAAACGATAATGCACGAGGTTGGTGTGCCCTTTTTTTTGTTTTTCCATTTAAATTTCAGTCCATGTATGGCCAGCTTGACTCTCCTTTCCTGAAATACTCTGCACTGCTAGAGGACTCTTGAATCATTACTTATCACCAATAATCTGAAGAACAGTTTGATTAGAAAGACTTAATGAATCTCCTGTGTCCTGGTATCACACTAGCTGATTGCTGGTCTTATCAAAACGAGTTTTGTTTCCCATAAGTTGGACATACATGGGCAAGTTTTAGTTCAGAGAAACGTGTCGGAATAAACATACTCTGCAAACAGGGCTTTGTTTTCACAGAGCGGCTCTGTTTGTGGAACATATTCGCCATGCAGTGTTTGTTCCAAGTGTGAAATTATAAACTGACAGAAAATCTGGAACAAGATCAAGCTTGGCCTTTAACCCTGTGTGAGACGAGGCTTTGGCTTCACAATAATACCAGAATCAACAACAGCCTCCAATATGATTCTTACTTAAAGACACAGCCCAGATTTCATTCTGCAACACATATTTAGCAGAGAACACAAAGGGGTTATTTACTAAAACTGGAGAGGGCAAAATGTGGAGCAGCTCTGCATAGAAACCAATCAGCTTCCAGCTTTTATTGTGAAAGATTAATTGAATAAACTGAAGTTAGAAGCTGATTGGCTACCATGTACAGCTGCGCCAGATTCTGAGTGCACATACACCATCCACCTACAACCAAGCAGCATCCAGTTTACTTGAATTGTGGGATAACTTTTTATTGGAGATGCTTGTTGTTTACCTTCGTCTTGGAAGTGCGTGGCTTCGGCTCATCGCATCTGACAACCGACATTCTGCTTGTGAGATTTACACAATCCCAGCTGCTACAGTATGTGTACCCCCCCCCCCCCCCACCACTGTTGCCAATGCTGGCGGCAGTGAAAGGCTTGCCAACGCCCCTGTAACCTTTGACAGGCGTTAGACAGGCATTTGGGAAGCTTTTTAAAAGCTCCTCAAAAGCTCCCCAAAACATCCGATGAGCATTTTTGAGGCATTTGATAGGCATTTGCCAAGTGTTAAAACTGCACCACAAATGCCTACAATGAAGTTTAATGGCCTGCCAGGCGTTTGAGGAGTGTCACCATAGACTTGAATGGGAGGCTTCAACTCCTCCTGACTCCACATGAGGCGTCAATTTTGCCGCCATGATAACGCTTCAGTGTGAACAGCACTGTGTGCTGCCATGTGTAGAATTTTCATAGTCATTTGAGGAATGCTAAAAACGCTTCCCAAACATCTAATGCCTGCTAACAAAGCTAGTGTGAACTTAGCCTAATACTGGCCATAGAACATTCAAATTTCTTTCTTTCGCCCAGGAGTGGAAAGAAAAATTCCCCCATCAACACAGTAATGCTGATGGGAGAATCCCTCCTGCAGCGCTTTTGTGTTCTGCTGGCAGAGAGCCTTAATGATTCGCTGTCGCAGCAATAATTGTTTAGGAAAACCCAACAGGCTGGGTGTACACAAGTCAATCGATAGATCAACTTGTGTACAACCATGGTGCCCATACATGGATTGAAATTTGGCCGGTCCCTGCTCAACCAACCGAAATTCAATTCATGTATGTTTGGCTTAAAGTGATACTAAAGCTAAATGCATTCCTTGCATTTAGGTAAAAAAAACTTCCCTGTGTGAAAGGGAAGAGGGGAGAAGAGATCCAGCGCTGTGCACAACTGCATCTCTTCTCCCCTTTTTTTTTCTATTCCTCTGTCCTCCCCCTTGCCTGTGTGAAAGGGAAGAGAGGAGAAGAGATCCAGCGCTGTGCATGACTGCATCTCTTCTCCCCTCTCTTCTTCACACAGGGACTAGAACAGCAGCAGAATCCATTACTTCCTGCTGCTGCCAATCAAATGCAGTGAGGAAGATGTGGGGGGTGGAGCCAAGTTCTGCTGTGTGTCTATGGAGTGCAACTCCATAGGCACACAGCTCAGGAATGAGCAGACACCATATACCCCCATAGAAAACAGCTTGCTATGGGGACACTCGAAGAAAAGGAGGAGCCAAAATTGGCTCCAACCAACCGAAATTCAATTCATGTATGTCTGGCTTAAACTGATACTAAAGCTAAATGCATTCCTTGCATTTAGGTAAAAAACTTTTTCTATTCCTCTGTTCCTCCCCCTTCCCTCTGTGAAAGGGGAGAGGGGAGAAGAGATCCAGCGCTGTGCATGACTGCATCTCTTCTCCCCCCTCTTCCTCTTCACACAGGGACTAGAACAGCAGCAGAAGCCATTGGTTCCTGCTGCTGTCAATCAAATGCAGTGAGGAAGATATGGGGGCAGAGCCAAGTTCTGCTGTGTGTCTATGAAGTGCAACTCCACAGACACACAGCTCGTGAATGAGCAGACACCAGATCCCCCCATAGCAAACAGCTTGCTATGGGGACACTCGAAAAAAATGAGGAGCCAAAATCGCCTCCAGGGGGAACCAAGAAGAGGAGGATCATTACCACACTATTCAAAACCACTACACAAAGCAGGTGAGTATACCAATGTTTGTAATTTGAATTTTACAAAATAGACTTTAGTAACACTTTAAGGGCCCATTTACATGGTACATGCAGTTTGGTGCACTTTGTTGCACTGACGACAGGTATTAGAGCAGAACTAAACTTACCTTCAAGTCCCATCCCTTGTCTGCACCGGCATCTTCTGCTGTGTGGCAGTCTATGGCCATCTTCACTGGCTGGTGCAGGATGAGGTCACTCATGCACATGTGCAGGAGGCAGTCATCCCGGCATACAGAGATGGGGCTGGCACTGCAAGCTGAGCTGCGCACGCATGCTCAGCTCTGCCTACATACTGGAAAAGACAATGAGTAGGCAGGTAGGTGTATCTTATTGCGGAGAGACATTGAATGTCTCTTTTTCAATAAAGAGCCTGCCTGCTCACTGTTTGTGACAGCTGAACTTTAGATTCCCTTTAATGAACCATGTCAACACAGCGAAAACACAACACATGACAACGCACCTGCGTAACACTACAAAAAGCGCACCTCTATGAACACACATGCATCTAAATGGACCCTAAAGGAAAAGTATAATTTCAATAATACCTGCACTCATCCTGCCCACACTGTCCCTGAGTACACCACACATTCAATTAGAACTTCCAGCACAAATATTCCTGCTATGCAAGATGCAGATTGACTGAACATTAGCCATCTCTGATCCAGACCTCACACTTCCTTGTCCAATAATCAGAACATAGCTGTGAAAATTCACACCATACCCACCAAGGGAGACTCACCCCCAAATCTCCTCTACAATCCTTACAGCTCTGGTGGCTTAAAGCTGGCCATAGATGGATGGAAATTCAGATTTCCCTTCTATCAGTAGCTGCAGTGCTGATCAGTGTGTTCTGGCAGCGAAGGAGTCCCACGGTTAGAGTACAATAACAGCAGGGAGGATAACCCCATTTACATCACTTGTGTGAATGGGAAAATCAGTTACGGCTGCTGGCTGATTAAAAAAAAGTGATCTATCTATGGCCAGCCTTATTTGGATGTTCAACTGCAACTTGTATGTAAAGCTTAACGATAAGCTTCTCTTAGTGTTTCCCCTTTCCATTGACAGCTCAGTCCCTCCCTCCACTGGCTGTGATTGGCAGCCAATGGCTCCTGCTGCTGCCTCTCTGTCTAATGAGGAGAGAGAGAGTAGGAAAAGCTGCTGCTCTTGTGCACATCGGTGGCTCAGGTAAGTATAATAGGGGGCTATGGGGAGAAGCTGCAAGCAGAAGGTTTTTTACACCAACGCAGAGAATGCATTAGGGCAAAAAAACCTTGTACCTTAAGAAACACTTTAAGGCAAACAGTACAATAAAACTTAAAGGAAGTCCTCACTGATATCACATTGGGGGAGATTTACTAAGGCTAAAGCACTCTGGTGCAGCTTTGCATTGTAGTCAATCAGCTTCTAACTTCAGCTTGTTCAATTATGCTTTGACAATAAAACCTGGAAGCTGATTGGTTACTATGCAGAGCTGCCCCCCCCCCCCCCCATTTTGCAAGCTTCAGTTTTAGTAAATAACCCCCATTGCACTTCTCCTTTAAATCAGATGGTCAGTATCAGTAATGGCTTTAGGCTCTCCTGTCTCTAGAGCTTCCTCCTCTAATGTTGGGTCGGTTATCTCAGTGTTAGTCCATGTGTGGAGTGCTCAGTACAAACAGCCCTCGAGGGAACACAGATATTGCTCTCAAGCTTTCAGTGCCTTGCTCTGTATTGTCCGGACTTTGGCAGCACATTACAGAAGGGCGTGTAGACAGCCCTCAGTACAAAGCAAATTCCGAATGTTTGGTTGAACGGAGCACACAGCAGGATCTACAGATGCAGATCAGAGAGTTTTTTTTAGTGTTAGCCTCACCCAACTTGCTAGACCAGATACATAATTAGTGCTGAGCCTTACAATAATAAATATCATAGGCTTTAGGAATCAATCACAGTGTTAGAGCTCATTCACACCAGCCCTCTTGGAAAATGCTGCCCAATGCAGTCCCAGCACAAGAACAAGACAATTTGCCTTTTATGCTAGGGCTTCATTTCACATCAATGTGCTGTGTTGGACGTGTGTGCTGAAAAGAAATACAGCATGATCTATTTTTTTTCACAGTACAACACGTTACAACGTGCTGTAACACAACGCAACATTCTGCACTTCATAAAAGTAACAAAGATATATAAAAAAGAAAGGAAATAGCAATGTATTGCAGCACGTGTTCACATGACACACCAGCACATATACACATTTTACCTTTTTTTTTATGTCTGTCTACAACTGGGGAAATTTCCCTTCACTTCCCCTTCCACAGGTGCATCAATGATAGCAAAAAAAAAAAGAACACCCTGGTGAACGTGTCTTAAGATTCTTTTTTTTATGAACATTGGAACAATGTTTTTTTTGCTTGTTCATGATTGGATGATAGATGCAAGTGCAGTTTTGTTAGATCTGAGGGGAAGCTCTACATTGAGGCAAAGCTCCGCTGATTTCTATTATCCAATCATGAACAAGCAAAAATGCTGTTTTTTTTTTATTTTCGTTGCACTTGATTGGGTATTCTTTGCAAAGTGAAGCTTTACCTAATTTACAAAGCTCTGCAGCAACTGTACTTGAAGTGCACAGTGTATTTGCCTTTAGTAAATCTACTCCAATGTGTTACTTGGGAACACAGTGATTTCAACAGATCTAAAGCCGACCATACACTAAACAATATAACTCTACAGTCTCTTTTACCTCCACCAACTATGCCGTGCAAGGGCCTCTGCAACTGATATTTTTGGTAGATCTAAAGGAGATTATCCAAAAGTTGTAACATGCACAGTGAGCTTAATAGAGATTGTACAGTGAAGTTGTAACATATTCTTAGTATTCCAACAAGTTTTTCTCTGGTGGAAGTAACAACACGTCTAAACACACTTACCTGTTCAGGAAAGCGTTCCCAAAAGCATTGAGTTTTCTGAACGGTTTCTTGGGGTCCACCACTAGTGCATTGCCTGGAATGACCCCCTCAACGTCTCCCTGCATTACCGCTATAAAGGAGTCTGTGGTGGGTTCCGGTCCTATCCTCATCCCTGGAAAGTCCTGTTCTAGAAGATACCTGAAAAGACAGAAAGGACACGTGCAAATGTTAAGTCCGGATCACCTATAGAGCCAAACTATTCATCATTCTGTGTGAAAGGATAACAGCATAGCAAACTAAAGAGACGGTGTTGTGTTAGATACTTCAGAGTATTTGATGTTGCTTATTTTAGATACATACCGGTATCTGATGGAGGGACATTAAGGCTCAAAAACATTGTTTTTTAACAGATCTTTTTTTTTTTTTTCCTTTCAGTACATTCAGTAGATTAGCACATTTTTTAAATTTACACAAACAGCCAGTCACTTACATTAATATTGCAAATTTTCTTAGCCCCATAAAATACTTCCATGTGCCTGCTCGTGTAAAGTACACTATATATATATATATATATATATATATATATATATATATATATATATACACACACACAATCACATATATACACACACACACACACACACATACATACAGAGTGCTCAGCATAAATGAGTTCACCCCAACAATTGTGGCCGAATTGTTAGAAAACCTTTATTTTCCTTTAGAAAAACATTTTCTATAGGACACTATACTAAAAAATATTCCCACAAATGCGGGCCAAAGTTTTTTCCTAACAAATTCATTCAAGACCATGTTGAAAAAAATATACACACAGAGGCAAAAAAGCAAAGTCTTAGGTCACAAAAACCCAAAAATTTTAGGACAGCAAAATCCTAATTACCCTTAATGAATATTCAACCCTTAAAACATAATTGATTACACAGGTGTTCCAGCAAACATTGCAATACAAGGGCTTCAAGAAAACCTCTTCCCATTTCATGCTGTCTTTGCAATGGCACCTCATGGAAGAGAAATGTCACAAACAGCAAAATAAAATCTCTCCACAGGTTTTCAATGGGATTTAGATGCACCTGGGCCATAGGACTGCACCTACTCCAGCGCTTTAGAGGCAGAAAACAAGAAAAAAAATATTTGAAACAATATACTGGGGACATAGTCCTGCAGGAATGACCAGAGACTGGAGACATAGTACAAGAGATGACCAGATGACACTGGGCCCTACAGACTAAGGACATACTACAGGAGGTGACCCAGAGACTAAGGCAGCACAGTACAGGAGAAGACCAGACTGCGGACACAGTACAGGAGATAGGACTGTGTTTTGTACAGGAGATGACCAGAGATTGCGGACAGAGTAAACAGTGACCATGATGTGCTTTACCGACAGTATCTTGGGAGATGACCATCTGCGGACACAGTACAGGAGATTTCCAGAGACTTTTGGACACTCAGGAGATGACCAGAGACTGCGGACATACTACAGGAGATGACTAGAGACTGCAGACATACTACAGGGGTCTCCTGCCATAGACGTTTCAACACAGTACAGGATGTGACCATAGACTGCGGACACAGTACAGGAGATGACCAGAGACTGCGGACACAGTACAGGAGATGACCAGAGACTGCAGACACAGTACAGGAGATGACCAGAGACTGCAGACACAGTACAGGAGATGACCAGAGACTGCAGACACAGTACAGGAGATGACCAGAGACTGCGGACACAGTACAGGAGATGACCAAGACTGCGGACACGGTACAGGAGATGACCAGAGACTGCGGGACATACTACAGGAGATGACCAGAGACTTGCGGATACAGTACAGCAGATGACCAAGACTGCGGACACAGTACAGGAGATGACCCAGAGACTGCAGACACAGTAGATTGATGACCAGAGACTGCAGACACAGTACAGGTCCTCATGACTCAGAGACTCCTCTTTCGGACACAGTACAGGTGATGACCAGAGACAGACGGACACGGTACAGGAGGTGACCAGTGAACGACTCTCCTTTTTATACTGCTTTCAGGTGATGACCAGAGATATTGCGGACACAGTACAGGAGATGACCAGAGACTGCAGGACACAGTACAGGAGCATGACATGCTGCAGACATACTACAGCAGTTGTGAAAGGGTGCCAATACTTTTGCGAACACAGTACAGGAGATGACCAGAGTCGAATTTGCGGACTTTCAGTACAGGAGATGTTTTGTCCAAGACACACAAAGCGGACACAGTACAGGCAAAAAATACATGAATGACCAGAGACTGCGGCGGACACAGTACAGGAGATGACCAGATGCGGACACAGTACAGGAGATGACCAGAGAGCAGACACAGTACAGGAGATGAACAGAGACTGCAGACACATATACAGGAGATGACCAGAGATGCAGACACAGTACATATATGACCAGAGACTGCGGACACAGTACATATATATACCATAGACTATATACACGGTACAGGATATGACCAGAGACTGCGGACATACATACAGGAGATGACCACACACACTGCGGACACAGTACAGGAGATGACCATAGACTGCACACACACACACATATAGATGATACGTACAGACTGCACACATAGTACATGAGATGACCATAGACTAAGGACACATATATATACATATATACCAGAGACTAAGGACACAGTACATATATGACCAGAGACTGCGGACACAGTACATACATACAGACCAGAGACTGCGGACACAGTACAGGAGATGACCAGAGACTGCGGACACAGTACAGGTTAGATGACCAGAGATTGCGGACAGAGTACAGGAGATGACCATAGGACTGCAGACACAGTACAGGAGATGACCACAAGACTGCGGGCACAGTATTTTTCAGGAAATTCACCAAGACTGCGGACACGTTGACAGGAAATGTACCAGAGACTGCAAAGACATACTACAGGAGATGACTAAAGACTGCAGACATACTAATTAACCAGAGATTCAAATAAACAGTACATTAGATGACCAGAGACTGCCAGCACACAGTACAGCATATGACAGAGGCGGACACAGTACAGAAAACCTCTTCCAGATGACTGTCAGCACATGGCACACATGGAAGAGAAGAGTCACACAGGCCAGGAAATACCAAGACTGCATTTTCAGCTCAGGATATGACCAGAGACTGCAGACACATACAGGATGCACCTAGGTTTTAGACTGCAGACAAGTACAAGAGATGAAAAATACTGCGGACACAGACATACAGGAGATGACCAGAGACTGCGGACATAGTACAGGAGATGACCAGAGACTGCGGACATATACAGGAGATGACCAGAGACTGCGGACACGGTACAGGAGATGACCAGAGACTGCGGACACAGTACAGGAGATGACCAGAGACTGCGGACACAGTACAGGAGATGACAAGAGACTGCAGACAGTATAGGGGATGACAAAGACTGCGGACAGTACAGGGGATAACCAGAGACTGCGGACATAGTACAGGGATAACCAGAGACTGCGGACAGTACAGGGGATAACCAGAGACTGCGGACAGTGCAGGGGATAACCAAGAGACTGCGGACAGTGCAGGGGATATGACCAGAGACTGCGGACAGTGCAGGGAATAACCAAGAGACTGCGGACAGTGCAGGGATGACCAGAGACTGCGGACAGTGCAGGAGATGACCAGAGACTGCGACAGTGCAGGGATGAAAAGAGACTGCAGGACAGTACAGGAGATGACCAGAGACTGCGACAGTGCACAAGATGACCGGAGACTGCAGACAGTACAGATGACCAGAGACTGCAGACAGTACAGGAGATGACTGCTGGCCTTTGGGGGAGGGGGGGGGGAGCGGGTACCTAACTTTGACAGGTACCCGCTCCCACTTCCATGCGGAGTTGTCCTCCCTTTAGTGTGGGCACCCGGCTGACAGCTGAGAAGAGCTGCGCTTTGTACCATTCTGGGACCTGTCATGTGTCCCAGCAGCGCTTACCATTCACAAAGTGCATTCTCACGCATGCACACTGGTCACCCGGCTGTCAAGCCGAGAGCCCACACTAAAGAAGCCGGCGCGGGAAGACTGCGCAGCACTGGATCCAAGGAACAGGTAAGGTCCTGCTGCAGAGCTGAGCGGCCGGCCCAGTATTCGGACACGACAGCGGTGGTAATACCGGACCGGCCGCTCCATACTCGATAAGCACTGACATTTTCCCCCCTTTTTTGGGGGGAAAAAAGTGCGTCGTATGGAGCGAAAAATACGGTAATTTCTTTACAAAAGAAAGGTGAAGGCTACAAGATGATCAGTAAAGCTTTAATTATCAGTCAGAATACTGTAGCAAAACTGATACAAAATATTTACAAAGATGGAACTGCAACCATCTCACAGAGACGTCCAGGCTGTCCATGGGAGTTAACACCTCGACAGGTGCATCAACTGTGAAACATGGTGATGGTAGTATTCATCTGAGGGGCTGCATGAGTGCTGCTGGTGTTGGGGAGCTGCATTTCTTTGATGGTATCATGAAATCACAGATGTATTGCTCTATATTGAAAGACAAGACGCTACCACCACTCCGTGCCCTTGGCTGTTTTGCACTTTCCAACATCACAATGATCCAAAACCCACATCTAAGGCCACTGTTGCATTTCTGAAGAACAGGGTGAAAGTGATTCAGTGGCCAAGTATGTCTCCTGATCTGAACCCAATCGAACACCTATGGGGAATGCTGAAGAGACAAGTTGAATATCATTCTCCATCCAGCATCCAGGCTCTAAAAGAGATCGTTCTTGAAGAATGGAAAAAGATAGATGTTGCAATATGTCGCCAACTTGTTCCTTCCATGCCTAGAAGACTTGGTGCTGTCCTTACAAGTCACGAAGGTCATACCAAATACTAGATGTAGTAGTTCTTGTTGTGGGATGTACTTGTTTTTGCATCAACTAATTTGAGTAAAACTGAAGATTTTGTAATCTAAGTTATATTATTCACCTTACTTTCATGTAATAGCTAAACAAATTCTATAAAACCGTTTTATCAAAATTGTGGAAATTGTTCCTGTGTTCATTGAGATATGGATTAAAATATTACTTTTTAAAAGGGGTGTACTCATTTTTGTTGAGCACTGTATATTTTTCTAAAATACACACCCTATCTCCAAAGCTGTTTTCCACCACAAAAACCTTGTTAGTTCACAGCCAGTCCTCTTCCAGGTTGGATGACAGCTAGTGCCATTTCTCACACTTCCTGTCAGCCCAGACTGTCATGGACCTGCCCCCTAGTGCATCACCACTCTGGGCTGTGCTCACTGAACAATACTTTCATAATGTTTCAGCACTGTCTACAGCATTGAAGACAGCCCACCGCTGCCACAAGGAAAAGAGGAAGAAAGATCATCCTGGGACCCCAGCAGGAAAAAAAAAAAAAAAAAAGAGGGCTGTGTGAAGAGAATATTAACAAAAAAAAAAAAAAAAGGTCTGGAGGTGTATGGGGCAATTTATTAACTTTTGTATTACTTGCCCCTCCCTTTTAGAATGTAAACTCCCATAAGCAGGGTCTTCCTAACCCTCTTGTATTGAATTGTATTGTAACTCTATTGTCCCTTTATTAAAGAGCTGCACAAACTATGACGCTATATAAATCCTGACGAATAATGATAATAATGTGAAATATTTATATTAGAGTGGAGTGTACCTTCAGTTTTGCTTATCTCAGCTGTCAGGTTGAGGGGTCAGAGAACCAAACTGACTGACAGAGAACATGTGGAAACTCCAAAAGATAAAATTCCATCGCAGGGCCCTCTGAAATACCAGGAGGGTGTCAAATATGTAAAGCATTTCGGGTGTATAGGCTCTGCGATATTTATTGACGCACCTAAAAACTAGGAATGTGAGTGCATGGAAAGTGAACATACTTAGAGCAGAACTGACAAAAAAAAAAAAAACACATTTCTGTTTTGCTACACACATATTCACTAAAAAAGAACTAAAGGCAAACTCTTCCTCTCTGTGTGACCACTCCGACCAATCACTTTCTCTTCAATGCTCTGCCAGCAGTTATGTACATTGTAGGACTGCTGTAAGTGAGGATGCAGAGGTTTCACTCATAGGCTGAAGGGAAGAGGGGAATGCCAAGGCACCGGGGGGGGGGGGGGGGGGGGAGAGCGAGGAAGCGAGGAACAAGGTAACTAAGTGCACGGTCGCATTGGTGCAATTTCAGCTGCGATTTGCAAACTGAAATCGCATTTAATGAATGTGAATGTCAGTGTCTTAACATGTGCGATTTGCTGCAGTGCGATTTCTAAAGTAGTTCTTGCATTACTTTTTCTGAGATTTGGTTGCGATTTCACGTGCATAGAACATAATGGAAATTGCACTGCAAATTGCAAGAAAACGTTGAAAATCTTCACAAGCAGCAATAAAGTCTTCAGAAATTGCACCTGAAATCGTGCTGAAATTGCACACAAATCACAGCGGTGTGACCGGTTACTAAAAGTGCTTTTTAATGTTCCTCGAGCCACAAACAAACCTTTAACCCTTGCAGTGCAGGGGGAGCCTTCCTTCAAGGGTAGTTTTTAAAAAAGATTCCAGGTATGGCATTTTTAAATAATTATTTTGTTCATCTTGGACCAATGTAACTATGCATATACCATACCTGTGGGATCCTTCTAAAAACTGGAAATCACTATAGTAGACACCTCTGCTCCAGTGATGTCCACTAGCATCCACGTCCTGTGCCGAATGGTTTCCCTGAATCATGGTGAACACAGGATTGGCCACTCAGCACAGGCACCATTCACAGAATGCTTTGCATTTCCTCAATGAATGCAAAAAACTTTTTCTAATTGGACAAGGAGAAGAGTGTGATGTCACAGCCCTACCTCTCCACCCATCCAATCAGAATATACTTTGCATTCATTAAGAAAATCTAAAGCATTCTCTAAATGGTACCTGTGCTGAGAGGCCGACCTCCTGTATACATAATGAAGACGTTTGGCGCCAGACCCGGAAGCAAATGGAGATCACTGGAGTAGTGGTGTATACGGCTTCTAGAGCCTTGGTGACCAATCTGTGGCCTGAGGGCTGTATGAGGCCCTTTGTATATGATGCGCAGCCCTTGGACCTCAGTCTGTAGTTGGAACAGTGATTAGGGTAATAGCATTGATTTATACCAGCAGTGCAGGGACAAGGTCATCTTGTGCCCAGGGCAAAGATGCCAAATTGCGCCCCCCCCCCCCCCTTCCCCATTTTTGATGTGCAAACACAGGAGATCCTACTCCCAGCAGTCACTCTCTTGTCAAAATCACTGCCGCTGTCACTACTCCTGTCAGCATTGTAATAGAAGGAAGGCGCTCTCATCCCTATTGTGCCCAGGGCAGCCGCCCCTCCTGCCCACCCCTTGTCCCAGCATTGTCTACCAGCCTCATGCAACATGTTCCCGTTTTGTGTTGTCTTCTGCAGCATATCTCCAACCACAAATGTATCCTGTCCACACTCTCTGACCCTCATTTCCTCTATTAGTTCTGAAAGTTACCTCAAGAATTACATATATTGAACATTATGTTCGGCCCTTTGGTGATGTCAGGGGCTGCAGTTGAGCCCCCTTATGGCTCAGAAATTGACAACCAGTCCTCTAGAGGTATCCCACAGGTATGGTAAAACACAGTTACATTGGTGCAAGCTGAACCAATTTAGAAATGCTATACTTGGAATCATTCTTCAAGATTTTTTCAGAGTTCAACTTTAATCTGCCTGAAAACTATTATGATCTTCCAACAATCCCCTGCTCAGCAGGCCAATACTGTGACCTAAACAGGTTTTGCTACATTGCAAAATGCTATCAATCTAATATGCTTTAGTCCCTGGGGACTGGAAGGAAGAGGTGCCAAGAAAGTTTAAAAAAAAAAAAAGGGGGAACACGCCACTGTGATGAGGTTTTCAAATTTTGATTTTCTCGTAAGGATCAAAAGAGTGATGGGAAATGCTGAATGCCCCCATCCCCTTTTACATTCACTCTAAGTCACCATAGTGGCACACTGCAAGGCAGGCAAACGTAGCCCAGCAGGAAAAGGGAAAACAAGAATGAATAAATGACCCAGTTAAGTGAGAGTTAATTATTACACTGTTCCGAACAGCTATACCCGGAGGAGTAATTATTTTGGCAAAAAAGATTGTTCTGTGTATTCAGAAACCAACTACAAGACTCCTCCTCTATCCATTCTTCTAGGAAAATAAGAACAGGTTCAATGAATGAAATATTCCCAACAGCCATCATTGTATGAATTTAATATCTGGAGGTGAAAAAAGGACATGAGACAGGATGGATATTTAAAGTGGTTGTAAACCCTTACATATACACAGTGAAGTGAGTGGACACATATCTGATACACAGAAATGAAACAAATCCTCCTACATAAGTTGTACTTGTTTATCTGCAGCTTTCTCGTCTCTACATTCATTCAAAGTGCTGAATTTATACAGTTTGTCTATGTTTCCAGAAAGCAGGTGGAGAGCTAAAGTTACACTCTGAAGAGCACAGTGAAGAGAGTTCTAAACCCTG